GCTACAGGATTGCAGCACCACACTCGAAATTCTGTTTATTCTGAATAGTTGGGTGAATTTGAATTTGACAAATTTACTAGGCTCTGGCCACAATTACCAAAGTCTCACTAGTCTAAGTATAGGGTGTTGTGATGGTCTAGAGTCGTTTCCCCATGGAGGCTTGGCCACACCAAATTTAAGATATCTATGGATAGCGGGTTGTAAATATCTCAAGTCCTTACCCGATCGGATGGATCTACTTTCGTCCCTTTCGTCCCTGGAGGTGTATGATTGTGCTTCATTAATGGAACTCTTTCCCCAAGAGAATATTCCCCCAAATCTGTCTGACCTCACAATCGAAAATTGCGGGAAACTAAAGCCCCTGGGGGAGTGGGGCCTACACAAACTCACCTCTCTTGAATACTTCAGTTTTGGTGGATGTCCAGAGCTGGTTTCCTTCACTAACAATGCTGACGAAGAACACTGTGTGCTTCCTCCATCTCTAACTCAGTTGAGCTTGTCTGATCTGCCGAATCTGGAAACCCTATCGAAGGGCCTCCAAAGCCTCACCTCTCTTCAACATTTATCCATCGACTTTTGTCCAAAGCTTAAGGCGTTGCCTATGAAAGACCACCTTAAAAAGCTTTTGAGCCTTGACATTTCAGGCTGCCCACTTCTTAAGAAACGGTGTTTGAAGAACAAAGGAGACTACTGGCCCATCATTGCTGACATTCCCAAAGTCCTAATTGATGACCGTTCCATCTATGATCCATGTCCATGAATTCAATTACACGAGGTAACAAATTTAATTCGATACCTATGAATCTCAACATCATTTCAAGCAGAACACCTTTCGACATTTCGTCAATTATTTTTCAAATCAGAATGTGAATTTTCTGTAGCAAAAAGTGAATCTACACTTTCTGTAGCAGCTATTCAAGTGTTCATGCTACTCATCTTATATGTGTGCTTCTTCTCTGCGGTGTAAATCAATATCAGAGCCGATACCAACAATCAAATAATTGATTGGCTATGGCGCTAAAATCAGCCTCTCTTCTCACCTTGTATGTGTTGTATTAACAGTAAAATTCTATCAAATAGATAAAATTGGAGTGATAGTTGTTTATTCAATTAATCACCTTCAACTTGGATAGAATACGTGATTAAATTATTAATATTTTGCTTCAATCTACTTTAGCAAATTGGAAATCCACTGATTCGACATACTATATGTTTATGCATTTTTGAGTTTTATGTGCGGTGTGCCTTTTTTAAACCTTTATTTTAGACTGGAAGTTCTTACACCATTTGAATGAAACTACTATGTAGGCATTTTCTGATTACTTCTAAGAACGCAAGATGGAATGAAGGTGCCTCTTCTATTAGATCTTCAAGTAAGTTTCTTTTTTGATTTACTTTTTGCATTTGCACTTTTAAGTGTTTTTTGATATGTGACTGAAGCTACATTCAGTTGCCTTTTTTAACTATATTAAGTTTATTGAGCCAAATGTTATTTTATTAACAGCATCAATGCACTTAATTTATTTTACACATGAAACAACAAATATATGTTTCCTCTTCTTTTTTGCTGGAAGCTACATCACAATAGAGTTGTCTTCTATATGAAGATTTTCTTCTTCTGAATTGCAGGTCTGCACTAGATTTTTGTTGCGGTTTTGGTAGCTTTAATGCTCGCCTGCTATCACTTAAGTTGATGTCTCTCTGTATGGCGTCATATGAGCCAACAGGTAGACAGGTTCATCTGGCCCTTGAGAGAGAGATCCCGGCAATCATTGATAACTTCATCTCAAGACAGCTCCCATTTCCATCCTTGTCATACGACATGGTTCATTGCACTCGGTGTAGCGTTGACTGGGATGACAAAGGTATGATCCTCATTATGGTTTAGGATTTTGCTTTCCCCCCTTAAATCAGAATTTGTTCGTCCGATTGAGTGCAGTGTTTTTTTTATTGATTTTTATCGGTTAACCTTTTTTTTTTTTTTTTGTGTGTGTGCGTGCGCGTTTTTATTTCTTTTTTGTTTATCACATTTTGTTTGATGCTATAGTTATTTGTGATTGATTTTTCTTGCAAGGGTAATATTAGGCTTGCTGTGAGGAAGGCAAACAAGGAAAAGGAAAATGAAGGATCCACACAAGCCAAAGAGGCCTCCAAGTGCTTTTCTGTTTTCATGTATGTCCCATTTGCATTTTATTTTTTTTG